GAGGGCGTTTGCTCTCTTTCCTCTGTTTGTCCGTCTGTTCACTAATGACTCCTGCTATAGAGAGAGAGTCATACCACTTATCAATATCTGACATTTTATTATATATCTACCTTCCCCACTATGACTTTCATGAGAGAAAGGACTTTGTCTTAGTCATATGGCAACACTAGTGCCTAGAAAAGTATTTGGGGCTTAATGGATATTTGTTGAGTAAATGAATGAATGAACAAACAAATAACATTATACCAGTGTCACTGAAACACTGCGCTGAGTAATTTCTACGAATACTGCATTAGTCCCCCAGGAGTCAGTCCAGGCCATGCCACTATAAGTAGAAAACTTGAGCTGTTTCCATTCGCCCACTGAGGACACGCTGTTCTGTGTGGACCCTTATGCAGGACAAACTCCTGGTTTTCAGCAGTGTCTGTCTGCTATCTTCTTACTCCATCAGCCTGTAGGAGTTACAGGCTACCACTTCCCCTTCATTAAAAGGCTTCTATCCTTAATATTTCCCCTAGAGAAACAAACAATATCTTCCAAGGTTGATTTTCTCTGTCAGAGAACTATTTACTGCCTCTATTGCCCATCAGAAAGACCTGTGTTAGGATTCCTGGCAATCTTTATAAACTGCTGGTACTAGGTAAGAATAGGAACCACGAGGAAGAGGAAAGTATCTGGATGGATTCTAGAGATCATCTACTAGCCCGGTGACTTATTTTAGCAATGAGGAAACTGACGCCCAGGGAGAACACACGACTTAACTGAGGCTACAAACAGAGAAGAGAAGGGGACAGACTCTTAAGTCTCCACTATGAATAGGCCCTATGCCCTCTTCAATCCAAGACATCCTTCTATTTCATTTACCTATTTATGATTTCCTAGCGAAAATCCCTCTTGCTTGCATTAACCATTTACTTTCAAGCATTCTCAGGTAGGTCAGAACTCACTAATGTGATGTTGGGTGAGAAGAGAGGGAGGAGGGATAAGTTTATTAAATTAAAAATGCTTTGCTGATGCTTTAATACCATTATCCTAAACAATGTGACACATCAAAATCTAAGAAGCATCTGACATATGCAGAATATATCTATTCCTGCATTTATTTTTGAAATAACTATAGAACTGATCACATACAACTTCAGAGAAAATGCAAATGCCATATTTTCTAACTACGTCATCTGTTATTTTTATGACTCACCATACCAAAGAATTTCAGAAATACCAGAGGGAGAGGATGGAAACAGTTAAGTCATGTGTTCTTCCTGGGACTTGATCAAGATAACTTGTTTATTAGTAATCTTACTTGCTGGTTGACAAAAATGTCTTGTTTTTAGCAAGACAAAATATGTTTCCTTAGAAGTAGTTTTTTCTCAGAAAATACTAACTACAAAAGTAGGGGACAAAAGATTGTAAGACAAAAATAATGGAATTATTTTCCAAACATCTGGTTAGACACTACTTTTGTCAAAAAATTCACAAGTGAGAATATAACCAATATACTTTATTTCTGGTTTCAGCACTACCTCACTTAATACTATACAACAAAAAAATTAAAGAAAAAATTGGATAAGCATATATTTTGAGGAAAAAAGTGAATAGTAAAGATACAAGTTAATAAGTACATGTGTCATATATATCTCTCCCTGTTCCCCCTCCCCCGCCCCCCCCAAAAAATCAGAAACCTTATAGTAAGAGATAAAGCAAAAATATCATTAAAACTGACATGGAAGAAAATTAAAAGCCATAGAGTAATGATAAATAAACAAACCCACGATTATGACAATTACTATATTTGAGCATTAAGTTTAGCTCTAGATTTCCTGGAAATTAAAGCCAAAATGAGAGATATAACATTTTACATAATTCTTCTCAGATAAAAAGAAAGCATATTGGTTCATGAGAGTCCCACCCGCTTCCCTCAAACTAAATTCTAGAAGGAATCTGTCAACCTTGTGCAAGAAAACTTGAACGAATAGATAATGGATTCAATGATGTATTTGTAGAAGCAGCACAAATGTTCATGGCATACTCTCGACAAATAAGAGCAACAAATAACCTTTCCACATAGGTCTAAAGATGTCCATTCACTTTGCTTTTCTTTTCATCCCTTAAAAAATTCATGGTCTCATTGAAGACAAGGCCGCATATATGTGGTGTCACCTACAAAACATCAAGCACTGTTTAACCCCCAGTACCTTCTTTATCAAATCAGTGCAGTAAGTGTCCCCTCTGAGAAGTGAGCAACTCTCCCGGGTCATTGTGGGCAACCAGAAAAACTTAAGAGAGGGGTCTTAAAACTCTGGTCCAAATGCCTTGCAATTTGTAGATTTCACTTTAATAAAATCTGTCAGAGAGTTCGATTATGTTCTTAGACTCCTTTTGTTATTATTCAGGTTTATTTTGTTTCTGGAGGTGTTTGGGGTTGGGGATACTGTGTAAAGGGATTTGGGATGGCTGTTCATAACTGTTCATTAAAGTCAAAGTAAATGGATATCTAGCTGCCTACTTAAATACTTCTTCAAGTGAGAAACAGTAGCAATGAACTCACCTTCAGAATCTCTTCAACACAATGGACTTCATTGGTGAAGGTCTGCTGAAAGTAAAAAGGAAGAAAAAATCAGTACACATAGATGCTGGTATTCCAACAGCAACACTCTCATGAGTAGAATCACTCAGGGTCTACCTTTTACTAAGTGTTAGGGACTTCATATTCTGGATGAGATAAGACAAAAGAGATTAATTTGACTTAATCGAGGGGGAAAGGATTCCGCTGGACATGATGATAACAGACTGATTATAACCCTGGTCAAAAGTTTCCAATGGAAAATGTGTATACTAAAGAGAATACATTTGTAAATCTGGGGGAATAACGGATATAACAAAAGTGGAGGCGAAAAAAAGACGGCAACCAGTGTCACAGTTTGCTGCTTCATAGCGACATCTGTCCGGAGAGCCAGTGAACACAAAGGTCACCCAAACACCTTACTGAGCCCACAGTAAGGAGGCCGACATCCAATCAAGGACAGATTTCTGGGTGATGTTTTAACTTTCCAAAAACTCATTTTAAAGTTTAATGTCTCTAGCCCTGCTTCAAGTCAGTATTTGGATCATATACACAAAAATATTCACACATATACGTGTATATACACACAGACACACACAGACACATGCACACACGCATACGTGCACGCACGCACGCACACACACACACACACAAATATTTCTGCAGAGAAAGGCCCTAAAAAGAGACATTACCTACTCTCTTGGAGGAAAGATCCACTATTTACACCTCTTCCTTATCCCTAGCTAAACAGTTGCTGGGGATAAGAATAGTTGCTGTTGCTACTACTATCACCACACAGACACCACACGGTGTCTAGGAAATGTCATTTTACAGTCTGTATTTTTAGTGTGAAGAAATAAAAAAGTTAAATCTAAAAAAAAAAAAAAACCACTTTTCCTTAACTGGAGATATGAAACAAAGCCATGGACTTCATAGTTTCCAATGGAACAGCAACTTATGCTACGTGTTAATTCATGAGCCAGTGCCCTGGGCAAGTTCTGTACAACACACACCCTTTCTGTTACTGCTCCTGCCTAGGCACTTTGCTGCAATACCTGCCTCACAGCTAGACAGTAAATGGAATTCTTTTCCTGGCTCTTATTTCTAATTTGAGTGCAATTTCATACAGCATCAGCTGCTAATTCCTGAACTGGGGCTTATAAATCTATTTCCCTCATTCCAGTTTATTCTAAGGAAGAAGGAAAAAGAAAAGAACATACAACATTCATTCATACTGTCCTGAAATTTAATCTAATGGACATGTCAAAATTCTAATGCAATTTGACCTGAGTCCGGCTTTAAAACATGTGAATTTCTTAGAAACAGGTTTAATAAAATGTCTAAAGTTTGTTATTTTGGAGGTAGGACCTGGAAGGTAGGATAGAACCAAAGAATCTAGGATATCCCTTATATCTGCTGTTCCCCTCAGAACTGCCTTCAGGCATTATGCGTGTCAACAGCTAGACCTGCTTACCCGCTTTTTGTTTTCAAAGCCATTAAGGGATGCCCAAAAACCAAACCAAACATTAGTAACCAAACATTTTAGCAGG